TCCCAGCTTCCCTGCTCCTCCCTGTTCCTTGGCCCACTGCTCCCTTCTCTTCCCCTCTGCCCCCCCGGGCGCGCGCGGGGAGAGCAGTGAGGAATTGGGGGAGAGGCGAATGAGCAGGATGATAATAACGTCGTCCCCCCCCCCCCCCCCTGGAGACCTCCAGAACACTCCGGAGAACTCGCAAGAGGTCTGGCCTCCGAAAATCCGACTACCTCCTCCTCCCCTTGCTCCTCCTTATCCCGAAGCCTTACCTGCCTTCCGCAAAACTTTGCTGCATGGCCGAGCCGAACTCCTGACGCTGCCACCTAAGTTCATGCCGCCGCTATCCAAGCACGCCCAACCTTCGAGGAGGATGATGAGTAGGTCAGGTCAGGCCACGACGGCGCAAGAGGGCGCAAGAGATCGTGATCAATGGGCCCTCGCTTCCCGATTCTAGCTTTCGGACCGTATCTCGGGCCACAGGAGGCCGTTCGGGACGTTCCTGGCACCCCCTGGAACGCTTCCGACGAGGCGCAGCCGATGGGAACCGCCCTGGGCCCCCGAACACCTCCGACAACTTCAGAAACAATCGTGTGACAACTTCGGCAGAACTCCCGAACCTTCGGGAAAACCTTCCTCGACGTCGTGTCGATGTGCCCAGCAGGGGCACGCGCGGCGTTGCGCCTGCTTGCGGTCGGCCGCCTCGCCGTTCACGCCGCCGACGATGCAATCACCCTGGGGGGGGCGGGGGCAGGCCTCTGGGAGGAGGAGGATCGGGAGGGAGATGGAGGGAGGAATAGGGAGGACGAGGAAGAGGAGGAGGAAGTGGAGGAGGAAGTGGAGGAGGAGGAGCAGCAGCAGGAGAAAGAGGAGGAGGAGGAGGAGGAGGAGGAGGAGGGAGGAGGAGGAGGAGGAGAGAAGGGAGGAGGGAGGAGGAGGAGGAGGGGGGAGGGATGAGGAGGAGCTGACGAGGATGGAGAGGCAGAGGAGAGGGGATGGAGGAAGAGGAGGAATGAAAACCACTGAGAGGGTTGGAGGGCGAAGAGGAGGAATGAAAACAATACTAACGATGAGAAGTGCCACGTATAAGTAGACGAACACCAAACTTTAAAACAAAAACGAACAATACTAATACTGATAACAACCAGAAGCAGAGCAAGACCACGAAGGACACGTTCGGGAGGGCCACTGGGGTCGCCCCCTCCTCCTCCGCCCCCTCGTCGCCTCGATTAATCGGTCACCCGATGCAAGGAGCGCCATGCAAGCACGACGGACCTCGCGAGAAACAGTGAGATGTTCCCGCGGGCAGCTTACGGCCGATACTATGGACCAGATGCTTGGGCACTGATCTGGGCGTCGGTGCCGCGCAAGAAGCTTCTGCTTGGCTTCACTGTTTTTCGAGGAGAGTCTCTGCTACAGGGATTGAACCGCTTGCGGTTTGCTTTGCAATCAGACCGAACAGAGACGTCCAACTCTTCCTGCTTCAGCACTTGAGACATACATACATACATATATATATATATACACATGCACAAATGTGTATATATATGTATATATATATATGAATACATGCTATATGTCTACACACATGTATACCGTGGCTACAGAAGGGGATCTACTATTTCATTGCGACGGACGCCGCTTGCTCGTACTTGACTCCCCCCCAGTGACCACAGACCGAGACCGAGACCGACGATCCCGAACCAACGCGTGCTCTTTGGACTTCCTTTTAGCGTTTCTATGGAACTGGATGGGTCCGGCGAGGTTGCCTTGCGCGCTGGATGGATCCGGCCAGGTTTCGCCGCGTTGCTGCCTCGGTACCGACTCGTGCGCTGGGTGTGTTGAGCGAGATTTAGGTAACTTGCCGATCGTTGCCGCCTCGTTGCCGCCTCGTAAGCTGGGTGGGTCCGGCAGGGTTTCGCCACGTTGCCGCCTGTTGCCGCCTCGTGCGCTGGATGGGTTCGGCGAGGTTTCGCCACGTTGCCGCCCGTTGCCACTCCGTTCTCGCCTCTAGCTTTCACCACGCATACTGCGCCACACAGCCAACACCACATAGCTTGCATAACAGAACTTGCACATCCAGAGTTGAATAATTTAGTGATTGGGGTCCCCGCTGGACAACATTTGTACATACGTGTATGCATGCATGCATGCATGCATACGTACGTTCATCAATACATCCATATACACATACGTACATACATACATACACACATACACACATGCAACCATATATACAAACATACATACATACACACATTACATTACGCTACACTACACTACATTACATTACATTGCATTACATTGCATTACATCACATGCACACATACAAACACACATGCGTACGGACATGCAGACACACGCCCATATACTTACACATATCCACACATACATGCATACATACATACATACATACATACATACATACACATACACATACACATACATACATATACACTCATGCGTGTATTCATACAGACACGCAAGCATACATACATGCAGTTTTACAATCATACGCGCA